TGAGGATTCACATTAATGACATGAACAGAGTATTTTCCAGAGAAAAGCGTAACGTTACTTTTCTTGTTTTAAGAATGAAGAACAAACTTCGGTATTTTGAGTTTGCCACCTCTGAGACCATCTCTGCCTCTTGTAAGAAGCTGAAGGACTGTCTCGTGATTGAGGTGAATGTCTCTACTACAGTCATGCAGCTGTTTCACCGAAAATTTAATTCACATAATTATTTAATGGTTGTGCGTTTGCTTCCCTTCACTTATCTACAAACAAACCAACCTGTTTGTTGTGCTTCCATCAGTGCTGTGGAAGACCGCTGGACCTGAGCAGCAAGTCACTGGAGGCCATAGCTGTCCTCAACATACCCAGCATTCATGGAGGCTCCAACCTCTGGGGCGAGTCCAAGAAGCCTGATGGTATGACCCCCGATGTGGAGGGCGGTGAGGTTATCACCGACCCTGAGCTTCTTAAAACAATCTCACAGGGTAAGACTGGGATGGTTACACTCCTAAATCACTTTATTTATAGAAACCAAATATTATCAACCATGTCGACTCTAATCTTTCCTTTCATCTGTGTGTGTTTCATAATGCCGCAGACATGAGTGATAAGCGTTTGGAGGTGGTGGGGCTGGAAGGAGTTATAGAGATGGGACAAATCTACACTGGACTAAAGAGTGCCGGGCAGAGACTGGCACAGACCTCTCAAATTACCATCAGGTTGTGTACTTTCACCATCAGTTAGATAACAGCCTAACAGTACAATACGATACAGCCTCATACGACACCACAGTCATATCTCAAATTGAATATTAGAAGTTAAACAGTGTGTGGCTGTTGTTTTGAATTGCATGATATAATCAGGTGCTCTTGTTATTTTATCCTCTTTTTAATTCCATCCGGTTTAAACAGGCACATATACTGTATGTCAAAATGTCCACATACAGTGTAATTACATCTCGCTATCACTCCTCTTTGTGTGCAGGACAACTAAAGCTCTGCCCATGCAAATTGACGGGGAGCCATGGATGCAGCCTCCTTGTACTGTAAGTGGCATTAATAATTCAAATCCAGTACTAATAGTGACGGTGCACACACTGTTTCAGACTCATTAAAGACACTGGTACCAGAAATGCAGTGTGCCACATCTTGAGCTCAGCAATTGATTGTTTTCATGTGTTTATTTTGATTACTATAATCGCAACATTTCCATTAGTGTAACATACTTACCACTAGCTTATAAATTACACTGTGCTTATTAGAAACGTATCCGTTTAAATGAGTATGATGTAAACAATAAAACTGCAGTTCACTCAAAACTTTCATTTATTCTAGATCCACATAACTCACAAGAACCAAGCTAGCATGCTCATGGCTACAACATCCAAATCATCCAGCTTCTTTCATCGCAAGTAGAGTGGGTGGAAATGATGCAGGATTACATGCAGGATAAGTATTTTGAGAATTTTGAGTTTTTTATTATTAAGTATTCATGTGTATGTCTTTTGCACCTAATCCCTGAGAGAATTCTGAATTATTTCAAAGCACAGGCCGCTTGCATTTAGATGGCGACAAGCAAACATTAAGCAGGTTAATGTGGCCAGTCATCAGAAATGTACAGCTCCTTAGCCAAGGATACCTGCAGAAAGGTACAGGGAGGGAGGGAGAGAGAGAGGGCAGACTGACAGACCAAAACTGCAGATTTGCTTACTCAGTCTGAATGCCGCTATTGGGTGCCAATTTAAATGGAATGCATTTGTTTTTTGTTTTTCTAAATAAAATAGCAAAGCATGTTGTGTATCTATTGAACAAGTAATATACAGTATATTTACCTATATATGTAGTTTTTAATGTAGCTGGTGATGAACTGGTTTTATTTTGCCTTCAAAAGCTCAGAGCGGCTCTCCTTGTCCAACAACACTATGCTACCTGTCTGTCATTGTCAGTGTATGTCCAGCTGAAAGAAAACTATACAATGTATTTATTCTTTTTTTATTGTTTCTTAAATAGGTCTTGGTAAAATAATGGCAGGGGCAGGG